CCCAGGGACGCAGAGAGCCAACTGTATGTTTCTTTAGTGAAGATCTCCTGGGGGTAGACTCTGGTTTTTGTTTATCTGGAAATGTCATTTTGATCTTAGACTTCAAAGATACTTTTGCTGAGTTCACAGCTTTTTTTTTAACTACTTAAAGATAATATTCCACTATTTTCTGGTTTCCATTGAAAAGTCTTTCAGTCAGATTTTGTTTCCTTTGTCTTTTCTTTCTAAGTGCCTTTTTTTTTTTTTTTTTTTTTTTTTTGGTGTCGGGGCTACATCTTTATTTGGAACATGTATAAAACTATATTCTTTATCCTTATTTTAGTATCTAAAAACTAAATAACCAATGGTATACCCTTGTACTACATTTCACTATTATATTTTGTGTAGGTATGCCTTAGTAAAAACCCATAATTCATAAAATAAGAAAGAAATTTTAAATCCTCAAAATCAGGAAAATATTCTGTAACATGATTTAAAAACTTGAGTATTTGACTTTCTCAGATATGGTATATTTTTTATTTCAAAAATGTCAATTTCCATCTAAAAGGAAAGTAAAAATATTTGCAATCATTAACATAAAACATTCATGACATCATGTCATGTGTACTTTTAGAATTTCAACCATAAATACTGATACCAAGGACTTGATTCAAAACTCTAATATTATACACCCAGCCGCTCCGTGGCATGTGGGATCCTCCTGGACCGGGGCACGAACCCGTGTCCCCTGCATCGGCAGGCGGACTCTCAACTACTACGCCACCAGGGAAGCCCCTGAGTGCTTTTAAGATATTCTGTTTATCTTTGAAGTTTCACCCAAATGTTTCTAAGTGTGAATTTTATTTGTCCTGATTTTGATAAGCTGTGCTTCCTATATCTGTAGACGCATGACTTTCATTGGATTTTAAAAAATCTCAAGCCGTTAGCTCTTCAAATATTGCCTCTCCTTCATTCTTTCAATTCTGTCTCTCAAAAGCAAGAATAGCCCCCCCCCACCCCTGTTTTTTTTCCTTTTCTAAAAACACTTGCTTTTTTCCATCTCCTTAAGTATCTGTGCTGCCTTCTGGGTTATTTCTTATTTCTGTTTTCTAATTCACCAAATCTCTTTTTTGGTGTGTCTTATCTGCTCTTTAACTAATTTGTTGAATTTTTAATTTCCACATTTATAATTTTTCATTTCTGAAAGTTCTGACTTTTAAATTTAACTGTTATTCTGATAATTACACATTTCCTGTTCATTTTTATTCCATCTTTTGTTTTAACATTTCCTACATGCTATATTTACTTTGTATTTGATAAATCCAATGGCTAAAGTCTTGGGAAGAGGTGGCATAAAGCTTTTGTTTCTACTGACTCAGGCTCAGTGATTTGTTTTTTTGTTGTGTGATGATTTTTGTTATAATCTCATCTTTTATTGAAATTAATATTTTCTTTCTTTTTTTTTTTGGCTGTATGTGGGCCTCTCACTGTTGTGGCCTCTCCTGTTGTGGAGCACAGGCTCCGGATGCGCAGGCTCAGCAGCCATGGCTCACGGGCCCAGCCGCTCCGCGGCATGTGGGATCTTCCCAGACCCGGGGCACGAACCCGTGTCCCCTGCATCGGCAGGCGGACTCTCAACCACTGCGCCACCGGGGAAGCCCAGAAATGCATTTCTGTTGAGAGGATTTGTATATTCTTCTCCTGCGATCTAGGGATACTACCACCCTGAAGCTACTTAATTCTCCATCAGGGTCTTGGGTTTAACAGGGATATCTCAGGTTTACCTCTCATCTTGTCTTAGTTATTGTTGGTATTTGCCTTCTGAGCAGCAGTGAAGTTTTTTGTATGACATGGGTCACTCTTCTGGTTTCAGCTCGCTCTTTTTTTTTTTTTGGTCTTTTTTTTTTCTTTTGGGAAGGGGGGATTCTTTGAGAGCCCCCTTTCTAGAAATGTTAACAATTAGGGTTTTTTTATTTTTTTAAATAATTTATGGGGTGTCATATTTTAGCAGAGGAACCTTTCAAAATATCTAGTCTGCTATACTATTGTAAGTAGAAATTAATGAGATTAGATATGCAAAGTGCTAATATAGGTTACTTTAAAAATAATAATTTCCTTCTGTCTTATTAAATTATATTTTGCCTACCAATTTGTATAAGTGTGCTTAACATCATATGGTTACTTTTTGTGGACACTTTCCTTAATCTCTTCTAAGGGTTTCTATTTTCTGCTATTCTGGAAATAGTAAATTTATGGGAAAATTTAAGTTTTTTGTTGTATATGAGGTAAATGTGTAGAATGTTCTGTAGAAGACTGAACCTAGGTAGAATTTATATCTCAGTAGTGATCCAAAGGAATTCTGCTTCTTTCTTCACTTGGTAGTTAACATATTTGGTATATTTAGAGCAGTGGTTCTCAAGTAGAAGGACTCTGCTGCCCCACCCCACACCCCTGAGGGACATTTATCAGTATCTTGAAACATTTTTCATTATTCCTACTGGGTTGGGCATGCTTCTGGCATTTAGTGGGTAGAGGCCAGGGATGCTGCCCTACCTCCTACAGTGCACAGCACAGCCCCCTCATGGTAAAGAATTCTCTTGCCTAATATGTCGGTAGTGCCTGATTTAGAGAAATGAGGTAAAGATAAATTGTTGATGCTGGTGGCTATATTTGGGAGGAAAGTTTTCCAGCTTTTTTAGAAAAACTGAAAGAAAGCCTTAACTGTTCTCTCATTTTCTTTTTGTAATTCTTCAGCACAGACATTCACATCCATAAAGCCAGGACTGAAAGTCCTAATTTTTTGACTACTACTAGTTAATTGAATTGTTTATTATTTCTTGCAGTTTCTTTTTTTCTATTACAGAATAAGTAACAAGTTTTCATTGTGGAAAACTTGGAGACAATAGAAAATTATAAATAGAAAAAAAATCATTCAGTTCCATAATCGATAAGCAAAGACTGTTAACATTTTGGGGTATTTAGTTTGTTTTCTTTGCAGATATTTTTAATATAGCTTTGAGAATACTATATAATTTTCATCTTAAAACCAAGCATAAGTATGCATAGTTGTACAGTTTTATTGTCGCTTAATCACTTCCCCTTTGATAATGAAGTGTTTTTTTTGGTTGTTGTTGTTGTTTTTTAAGTATGAGTGATGTTTGAGGAACATCTTGTACATAGTTAAGTTTCAGATTCCTTCTTTAGAATATATTCCTAAAAGGTTATTACTGGGTCAAAACGCATGAATAAGGTTATTCACAGGTTGGGGAATTTATCCTACTGTCATCAGTGTATGAGACTACATTTTTTACTACAGCCTCATCAGTCTGCATTCTTCTTAAGAAATTGATAGAGTCAGCCTTCTATTTTTTTACCAAACTATTTTATAGTCGTTATATCCACATACAAAGCTTTTGGAAGCTAAAAAAGGAAAAATTTTTGCACTGAAGATACAGTTAATCTACCAGAATTAATGGAATATAAAAGAGTAATTAGAGAAACCAATATGAACAAATGTAAAATTTCCTTGGAATTACTCAATTTATGTAAGTAATCTGCTGGCCTTGCAAAATTGTGTCTACCAGTTTTGTAAATTGAATCTTATTTTAAGTGCACTGAGAGAGCGCATTTAAAGAAGCTCTGTAATAGGTCTTCTTGTTAAGTGGGAAAATGTCCTGTCATATTTTGGTTATGAGTATGTTATGGTTTTGTTTGTTTCATAAGTGAGAAAATTTGTTCACTTATTTAAGTAATATGAATACCTTCTTTATGCAAAAATGGACATTGTGGTATGGTAGGGCCTTGAGATTATGAGAGAGTAAGCTATACAGTGCAGTGCTTTCATGAGATTACATCTGTATGTAACTTTAAGAGTCAGGGGCTCCCTCATTTGATGATTTGAGAAGTACAGGGATATAATTCATTGCTCCAAACTTTCTTATTCAAACATACACCCTTGTAGCAGTGTTTGACATTTCCTTGTTAGAAAGTTATTCCTTTGCTTTTTTTATTGAAAGGATACTATAAGGGAGATGGAAGGGTAGAGGGTTGGCTGGAACAAGGAGGCAGTATTAGGGAATAAGGAGAGACAAAGTTGCTAAATGTGAGGGAGGGAGCAGAGGAATCTGAGAGAACAATAATAAGTTAATTCCCTTTTAAATTGTTTTGGAACAAGATAGGACTTGTTAGGATAAATATCATAAATGAATAAGCTGTGAATATGATGAATTTAGTCTTATTCTCATAATACAGATGAATTGGAAAACAAAATGTCCTGCTTTAAAGGAATAATAATGACTTTGCTAAATTTTCACTTTTGGAAATTTAGATGATATCGTTAAAGCCTTAATTTGTGATTGCTAGTTGTAAAGGTACTTGAAAATAATTCATATGGTAGTTGTTTCTTCATAGTTAAGTTTGGGAATTTTACTAGGATGAAATTGCTGTGTTCGGTTTCTCCTACTGTGCAATCTTCATAACTGTATTTTATGACTTACCAAGAGCTGAAAGGAAAGTAATTTATTAGTTTAGAACTTAAAGCAAAACAACAAAACCTAACTTAACGTTTCTCCACTTCGAAATGTGAAACAGATAACGTCCAAACCTGACATATCATTGTCACTTTCTTAGGAAATATGAAAATATTTAAATAATAACTTTGAATTCTTTACCATTGAGCCCCTCATATGTATATTATTCTTCTTCCATCAGACATACACTAAAGCAATATTTTTGTTTCCAAGAAGCTCATGTGTTACAGGTACTGTTTGCTTCTAACTAGGTGGTTACTTGAATTTATCTTTAAATATATTATTTAGTGTGGGTCTGACTAAATTTACATTGACATAACTATTGTGGGGATTAATAGCTTAAGATAATTTTAAAATATTTGTAGTTTATGGAATGAAAACACTGTTCCAAGTTTAAATGTGCTAATTAAAAATGTTTTGAATTATCTGATACATAATTTTTAAAATACTATAGTTTGTAATAGTAAATCTGTAAAATATTTTATCTTTCAGGCGAGGGTTAAATCCACCACACAGGGTGAAATCCATCTCCATGACAACATTCACACAACAGGAAATTGAATTCCTTCAAAAACATGGAAATGAAGTAAGTGTTTTTTACAATTTTCAACTTTTTTGTTGGTAGTCATTTTAATAAGATTTAATAAGTTGCTTAGAATGGTGAATTTTTACTGTCTAAAAAGTTATTTTTGTATTCTATATTTAGATGTTATAGAAAGTACTCATTTAATAATGTGTTTAGAATTAATGTCTACTACATAAATATTTTACCTTAAACCTGAGATGAAACCTGTGTGTAAACTTTGTCAGTATTGAATGTAAAAGGCATTTTTGGAGGACATCTAGTATTGGAGTAACTGTTACTTTTTGCTTTAAAAGACAAAATAAGAGAGGGAGAAAGGGAATTAACATTATGGTATTGTAGTAAACTTTTGTTAGGCTGTTGTGTGATCAGCTTTCACTTGAGGACCCCTCTTTGCTTTTTAACGTTTTTAACTTTAGATGTATGTGATGTTTAATATTGAGCAGTGCTCAGTAGGGAGGAGGTTAGTAGTTCTGAGGGGACAGCCTAGTGTCATGAGGAACTCAGTAGCGTAAAGATTTGCAGGGGAGCCTTTTCTTTCTACTCTGCTTTAATGGGCTTTCAGGAATTCCATTCTGTTTGTTTGCTTTCTTGTTTTAGTTCCATATTTTTCTATTAGTAAAAGTGGTGGTCTGCTATTTTTTTAAAAAAAAACTATAAGATTAACAGCGAAAGGAAGCATGTTTTATAATCTTGGGGCAAGGATGAGCCAGTCAACCCAATTGATCAGTAATAGCCATTATTATTTAATAGACACTCTAATCACTTCCTAGAAAGGAAATATTACTTTAGTTGTACTATAGTGGTTGCATGTTTTTTGTGGTTTTTTTTTTTGCATGTTTTTGATATGACACAGAAAAGAATTTAAGTCTTAAGATTTTATTAATTTCAATCTTCTTTTTCACCCTCAGAAGATATATGCAAGCGTTTTGTACTCTGCCTCTTTTTTTCCCTAACACTTTGATAGTAGCATCTTAAACTTGCTTGTCTACTTGTGATTCATGTGTGTATATGGTTCTAAAGTAGTAAAGAAGTATAAATTTAAGATTATGAAATATTTTTAAATACATGATTTAGAGAATTGAGCACACACTTTGAAGTTTCCAGATTTTGCCAATAAAAAATTATCTTGAGTGATCAAGTTCCAGACTGATGTAGGTACATTACAGGAAAATCTAAAGCAAGTTGAAAGGGCAGAAGGTGTGTAATGACAGTAAGTGTAGAAATGTAGTTTTGGATTAAAAGACAATTTGAACTATTTGTGTAAAGTTTGGGATTAGCCTAGCAGTGCATATTTTAAATTACTTTCTTAGAATTTTGGCCTTCTATACAAAATTTTGGACATCAGAATGGAGTCATAAATGAAAAAATATTATCTATTCTTAGATTAAAAATCAACTGACAGTAGATAAAGTCAGAGTAGTAGAACTGGAAAGGTAACAAACAATGCATTGGAGAAGTAAGTAAAAAACGTTCAAACCTGTCAGTAGATAAGATTAGGTGGAGACTGGTTCCAGAATACTACAGTTGAATGACCTTTTTTTTCTGAAATTGTGGTAAGTACACTTGACATGAGATGTACTCTCTTACAAAATTTTTAAGTGTAAAATGTAGTATTGTTAACTATAGGCGAAGTGTTGTAAGTGGATCTTTAGAACTTACTCATCTTGCATAACTGAACTTTATACCCATTGAATAGCAACCACCATTCTATTTTCTGCTTCTGTGAGTTTGACTGTTTTAGATGCCTCATTTAAGTGGAGTCATGTAGTACAGTTCTTCTGTGACTGGCTTATTTCACTTGGCATAATGTTCTCAAGGTTCAGCCGTGCTGTTGCATATGACAGGATTTCTGAAGGAAGTTATTAAGGCTGTAATATCAAAATAAATTTAGAATATATGAAAAGAAATTTTAGGTAACTCATTATATCAAATAGTAGAAACAAAATACAAACAAGAGATGACTGGAATGGATTTATGAATCTTAAATCCTAAAAAGAGTCATGCAAATTAATAAGCCATTTAAAGCCCTCACCATGGCAGTCACTGTACTAGGTACTTGGATACAGTTATAGAAATGTCACATAGGCTTAGCTGACATAGAGCTCATGGTCTAGTTCGGGAGACAGGTATGTAACAAATAATTACAACAGTGTGTTAGATAATTAATGATAAAGAATAAGAAGTTTCAGAAGTAATGTGGAAGGAGGGACTCAATCTGTTGGTGAAAAGGAGAGCATTGGGAACATCTCACAGAGGGGGCTGAACATTTGCTGGCTTTTGAGGGTGACTAGGACTTAGGCTGGCAGGAAAAGATATTGCAGGCAGAGCAAACACAGTGCACAAAGAAAAAGAGAAATTTGCAATGGTTCTTACTGCTAGAAAGTGTACCAACCATTTAATTACTTGTTAAGGGAGAAAAACACTTTCTTGTGTCCCTAAGGACACAAGAACCAAAGTATTGGACTAGGTATATTTGATTCTTCACAATATTAGAAATATCTGTGTTCTTAAAATTTCAAGAGATGTATAGAAGTTGAAGATTGATATCATGAAATGCAGGATGATTGGTACAACTTAATAAAAAACTATAGACTTGAAGTACAAGTGCTTTATTATCAGTTTATCTTATTTAAACATTTAAATCTTAAGTATAATATGCATAGAGAAAAAATGCAGATCTTTATTTTCTGTTTCAAATTATGTTGCCATATTTGCACTGTGTGTTTTCTCTCAGTAGTCTGGAAAGGACCATACTCAATCATATAAATTTTGGATTAAAAAGAAGGTACTGTCACACATCTTGTGCATGAATGGGTTCATGCCTGAAGTTAAAAGATCAAAAAGTATATATTAACTGCCAGAAGTCTTGGATCTTCTACCCCTATGAGGAAGTTTTAACGTTCTGAGGGGCATGTTTGGTTGTTACGATTAGGGAATGTTGCTGGCTTAAGCAGACAAGCACCATGGTTGCTGGATGATTCACAAGGTGTTGAATAGAGTTAACCTATATTCCACATGCTTTGGATGTTCCTCCAGACCTTTATAAGTGGGAAAAACCTTTTTACAGTCGGTCTGCATGTATAACTTAAATCTGTTTTATATGCTTTCATTAATAGTCGTGAACAACTTATTGCCAGAAGTCATGCTGCCAAGTCCAGAATCAAGTGTGGGAGGGGACTACCAAGTTACAGGGCAGAGGGCTTGGATACAGGAAGCCATTAATTGAGACAGTCAATGCAGTGACTTGACACATTTGTATATCTGGGAAAGATTTCACTTTTCATTGAGAACTTTACTAAGAATTGTTCACTCTTTTTGGCAAGTCACAAAATTGATGGCAGCACTACTCATGGCATTTGAATCATTAATAAAGTACATCTGAATTGGTCTGAGTTGGTAGCTGTGGTAAGCAGATGATGTTATTAGTATTTATAAATATGTATCACGGACACCCTTGATGTTTATAACATATCATTAGTATCTACAGATATAGTTTAAAAGTTACTTGAATATTACTTTAGAATTCTTAGACTCCAACAGTGTGTTCATTGGAGGAGATACGTACATTATCAGGATATAAACATACTTGCCAGATGTTAGTAAAATATTTTATAGCAAAGCAGTTTGTGTTTATTGGTGTTGACATTTTTTCCAAAAGTCAGATATTTCAGAAAAAATTTCCACATATTTATCTTGTAATGCTTTCTTTTGTATCATGATGTTACTTTAAAAAAATCTTTAGTGGTTTGCTCCATATGTCCTCTTTTATGATGTTGTGAGTCAACCATGGTCCTCTAGTTGAAGGAATTTCACTACTGGGTTAACTTCTGATTATCAAACTTAATGGAAGGAAGGCTGGCTAACAGTGCTGTAGATAATTCAGTAAAAGGAAAATGTAGAAGTAATTTTATTTTGAACCATACAGTTTTTCTTTTCTAGTAATAAATTAATCTTCCTAATTATGTTTCAGGACTGAGAGTAAAAGGGTTACTGCTGATGCTCCACAGGCATAAAATCTACATGTAGAAATAAAATCATGCATTAATTGACAGTATTTGATCATCTTTATGCTAGATTAAAAAAAAAAACCCAACCCAGAAGCTAAAGCTTAAAAAAAATCCTTCTTAAACAGTAGACCCATAAGGTAAGGTGTGCTTTTTCCCTGGTTAACATTCACAATTGATTCATTCTTCATTCTTTTTTTTTTTTTAAGTTATTTATTTTTTATTTTTTATTTTTGTCTGTGTTGAGTCTTCGTTTCTGTGCGAGGGCTTTCTCTAGTTGCAGCGAGTGGGGGCCACTCTTCATCACAGTGCGCGGGCCTCTCACTATCGCGGCCTCTCGTTGCGGAGCACAGGCTCCAGACGCGCAGGCTCAGTACTTGTGGCTCACGGGCCTAGTTGCTCCGCGGCATGTGGGATCTTCCCGGGCCAGGGCTCGAACCCATGCCCCCTGCATTGGCAGGCAGATTCTCAACCACTGTGCCACCAGGGAAGCCCCATTCTTCATTCTTGAAGCAGAGATTTATTAATCATCTACCATGTGCCAGGGATTGTCCTTGGGTGCTAGGGATACTGTCTATGATTCGTGCCCTCAGGTAAAGTTTACAGTCTACTAGGGGAGAGAGACAGTAAAAATCATTTTTTTCAGTTCCATTTCGGTGTAAGAGTGAGAAAGGGCTTCAGTTTAGAGTTGTAAATGCTTGGGATTATGCAGACAGTTTTTTTCAAGAAGTTATACTTAGGGCTTAAATAGGTTTTATTTTATGAGACAGCTCTTTAGGCCTTTTGTGTAGTTAAATTGCATCTTTGGGAAGATTGGAGTTATTTTATAATCAGAAACAAGCATTGCCACAAAGAAAAATATTTTGATACCTAAAAAATTTAAAGTTCCAAATTCACATGCTGTGACAGTTTTGCTGGAATATTCAGGTATCATTTTATGATATGTTATACTCAATCTATTATGCTGTTAAACAGGACACTAGTGGTTATTTCCTA